ATGGTCTCAAGAGTTTTTTCTCCAAAAGTTGTGTTTAACACACATTTAATCGTCTATTTGCTAACAATCGAAATAGCAGTTTTGCCTGCACCGCTTACTCAAAGACCTATGGCCAAACCGGATGTGAAATAATTTGCGCTGTGTCAAATGAATGAGTGACCATAGGTAATCTGCCACTGACAGGACGGCACTGGACGGCAAGAAAATTCTGCAGTCGCTTTGCCAAGTGGTCCCACGACCGACGTCCGTCCTGTTGTCAGACCTCGAGCTCCGTGAACAGCTGCCCCAGATTAAGTTCTCTCATGTACAGCTGGCAGATGGACCAGCGAGCCAGTTTGTTGTTGACCAGTTCAAGCAGCCGACAGATGCCGCCAGAGCGCCCAGTGTGGTCCGCGGTGCCGTCACGCCCAAGAGCAGTCCGTCTACGCCATAATCGCTGTATATTGCCTGGAGCTCACTGAACAAGCATGTGGCCCTGTCAGACTGTGCGCTGAAGCGCGCAATGCATTGACCATAGGGCTCGGCTATCACAGCTACGTGTTCTTCTGGCCGCAAATCTTCAGCGCCGATGTAGGTGATATCTTTCCGGACGTCAAAATACCGTCAAGCCAAGCCCAAGTAGATCGCGCCGAGTTTCGTTCCGTGTAAAACATTCGCCGCAAATTATGCTGCTGAATTGGAATTTCCCGACCGGAGGCTCTGGGCAGGGCTCACGAAATTAGTCGGCTTAGCGTGCGCGTCATATGAGAAGTCCTTGCAACCAAAATACCCGGATTAAGTTTATGAAGTGTCACCATGACAACATGGCGTCTGGCCAGCCACATTTGTGTAACTCGCTACTCAGCTTTCTCGGCTGCGGCATAAAAATGGATATACTGGATACCATACTGCCTCTTCCATCTGACAGTACTGGATGATGAGGCTCTCGCGCAATCTTAGACCGCGGCATGAGGAGTGAAGGCGTCTCGATACAAATATTAATCCAGGACATTTCGAGACTTGCATCCAGGCTCTCGCCCAGTCCTAGAACGTGTTTTGAGGAGTGAAGGCGACTCGATGCAAATGCTAATCAATCCAGGACTTTCTGAGGCCGGTAGAATGTAAGTCTGTCATAAATATATATATATATATATATATATATATATATATATATAATATATCTGGTGCGCTATAGCCTTGCACGACTACGTAATATACTAATGGCTTTGTACACCTTTGGGTATACAGTGCGATTAATTCTACAACTTTAACAACATGACTATGGTGATGCATGGAAAGAAGCGATCTCAAAAGGCTATCTGGCCCGCCAATAATGTTACAAAACGCCACGCTTTCATATGTCTTCCTTAGTCCCCTTTTACTAACGTACTGCAATATTGAGCCGAATCGATACAGCCCCTTGTAAATTATTCCTGCTTATATCACCCTGCAGCCGAGCACAGTGCCCAAAAGAAGGCCATGCCCCCTCACTTCTACAGTTGATTTCCTTGCCGGTAGGTGACAACACTATCGCCAAGGTACAGTGGATAAAGACAACTTCAATCGGATGGCGTTGGCGGAGTTTTTTGTTCTCGATTCCGAAATGCATCCACCGTCTTATTTTCATCGTCATAGTGCACAAGGGATTTACCAGCTTGTTGTTGTGCCAGTTGCCGTCTTCCAAGTGAATGTCGTCCACACATCCACACAACTTCCAAGTGAATGTCGGCCATCCTATCAAGGTGACCAAGCTTGAGGCTGGTCTTGTCTCGGGAGCCCGCCGTCAGGACCACATTCCCTCCACCTTTCATCCCCAAACCCTTCACATTTTACATCCCCACATCCTTTCCTCGACCTTGAAGAGCTCAGGCGGGCGGCGCTGCACACAAAGCCTGCTCACTTCTCGGAACTGTATCGGCGTCTTGAGATCTCTAATCGACCCATGGACTCCATGACCCCGGTTTACCAGACGTGCTGCCGTCTCTCAGCGTCGGTGGCGGGCGCGCTTCAGCCGCCGGCTTTCCGTTATACGCCGGCCGTTCTCGTGCCGCGCGGCAGTGGCGTGCATTTATTTTCGAGCAAGACAAAACCTTGAGAGGACAAACGCATGACAAGTGCGCACTTTAAAGGACTCGGAACTCGAGAAGGGACTCTTTCAAATGAACTCGGACGGGGGCCGATCTCTGTCCGACAGATCCGAACTCTGTCAGACCGATCCTATCTCTGTCCGACAGATCCTATCTCTGTCCGGCATATCCGATCTCTGCCCGTCA